ATTCCAAACTCATCTTTTATTTACCAACACTCTTGCAACATGATTTACAACTCCATTTTTGGGCATAATTTGAAACTTCACATCTTTGACATTCTTACATGTTTCCTTTACAAGTCAGATTATTTTCTTACTTATCAACTTTTGCAAGTCAGCCTCTTTCCTTACAAATCAAGCCTAGCTTGAATAAACCACCCTCATTCACTTCAGACTCACCAAAATAAAGACAGCAGTGTGGCAAACACAAACTTATAATTTTATTACATTTTCAACTTCACTCTGCATGGAGTTTTTATTACAAGTTCAACTTCACTTTGCATTGAGTTTTTCTTAACTTTACTTTGCATTGAGTTTTTCTTACATTTCAACCTTGGCTTTGCATTGAGTTTCCCTTACACAAGCCTCATACATGAGTCACCATTCTCATTCATTCCAGATGCACAAGCAAACACAATAGAATGAAAACACAACTCAAATTTTATTTATTCACAAACTTGTACATAAGTTCATTACAACAATTCAAAAAAAAAAAAAAACTTGTACAACCCAAAGCACAATAAATACCCAAAACCCTAAGTACAGGTTTTGTTCACACCAGTCACTCTTCCTCACTTGAAACAAGGTCTTCTTCTTCAACGCCCTCATCTAGGGGGGTCTGGGCCACGTGCGTCTTCATCAATCCTTACATCGCTAAGGTCCAAGTCTGGGAACAGTTCTTCTGCCTTCCGCTTGAACATCTTCCACCACTGTCCCAGAACTTAGCCATTTCGTGCTTGTAGAAGTCTGACCGCTGGAAGCTCTCAATAACTTCTGCTTCAGTTCTGCCCCCAACGGTCGTTCCCGACGGCCTGCCCCCCCAGACACCTCCCTTGCCAAGTTGCTGGCGACCGCGGCATCAACTGCTATCTGGAAGTCGGCAGACCCCTTGAATTGCTCCACTACTGCGACATACAGGTCGGGGTATGCTGCCCTTTCAGAGGCTACCTTGGTTTTTTCTTCCTCCAACTCTTTTTCCAATCTCTCCTTCTCCTCCATTGCCTTCGCACGCTCATCTTCCAGCTCCTTCTACAGCCCAGCGATCTTCAGGTCTGCATCATCCTTTTCTTTGATTTGTTGGGCACGCAGTTCTTCATTGCTGGTCATAGCCTCTTCAAACCGCTCAGTGGCGATCGTGCAGGCATTTTGAGCATCCCCTAGCTTCTTCTGCTCGCCAGCCAGCTGGAACTCAAGCGACACTACCTTGCGGCAATCGTCCTCTAGCTCCAACTTGACCGCCAGCAGCTCAGCATGGGCTCGAGCGGAAACGCTGCGCTGCACAATCGCCATTACTTCCATCTTCTTCGCTTTCTGCACCTCCTCCAACCCCCTAGCACACGCACTCCACGCAGCCTTCCTCCAACCCACGCTTTCCCTCTTGAAATTTTGAAGTTGGGCCTCCACCCCCCCAACTTCTCCTTCTCCCTCCTCCATTCGCCCTTCGCCACTGCCACCTTAATCAACAGGGCTCCTGCTAAGGCAGCCACCTCCATCTGGGTTGAGCACAATCCCTTCATTAGCTCAGCCTCAGTATAACAAGCCACCGAGCGAACGGCTGAGTCTTCTACCACCCCCAAGAGGCAATCTGCAGCCATCCTGGCCTCTCTCCCTTTCCCTTCTACTCGCCCGGACACCCAGGGACGTGATAGAAGGAGGTCTTCAACCCTAGCCTTGCTCCCTCCCGTTGGGGTGCCAGACCCTCCTGTGGTTGTGGCTCTTCCCTGGGCTCTACCCTTGGCTCAGCGCTGACCTCGCCACTTTGCATTTGCTCCCCAAGGCCAGTCGCCCCACTCTCTCCCTCTTTGGCCGCCTCTTCCAACCCATTTCAGGGGTCCCCTCTACCTCCCCCGCCAGGGGAGTCTGCTCCGTCGTCGCCTCCTTCCTTCTCTTCAAGGCAGGCTCCCCCTCACTCCTCCTCAATCTCTTTTTCTTTTTTACCACACCCCCCATCTCCTCGTATGCTCTCTCCTTCAAAGGATCAACTGGAGGCGGTCGTGGCTCAAATCCACCTAAGTCTTTTTCCCCCAAGGGTTTGGGGCGCTGTCAAATCCTCTCCCTTGCGATCGGCTTCGGCGGTCGGTCTGCCTGGGACTCTTTGAACGTACTAGCTTTGGCGAGGATGGTCATATCCTCAGCCTCTTGCGCTTCTCTTCTCGCTTCTAACTCTGCTGGTCCTAGGTCTCCACCGATCGGCTGAGGACCTAACCCTGCTGCAAATAAGGCTGACGGCTGAACAAGCTCGTCCCATTGGGCGCCCTCTTTCTCCCTTCATTCTTTCACCCTCTTCACTCTCGCCTCTGTCGCTGCTCCCAGTTTTGGCTCCACAGACTTAGTGGGCACTTTTCACACTATGCGCACCCCAACCCCTCCGTTGACAGACACATAGAACCATCGCAGCCTCCACCCCTTTATCGATGACGGTAACCCTGCCACCAAACCCTTCCCTGTCGCTGCCTGCAAAGTGACCCAAGTCTCTTGCTGCCCCGACGCCTTGTAGCACACAAAAAACTCATCCACCGTCATCTCAGCCCCCCCCGTTCGCCTTCGGCCACGCGCTCGCACAGGCCAGCAAGATTTTCCACGCATTCGGCATCAGTTAGCCTAGAGCTAGCTCCAACTGGTTCAACACATCCACCACTATCCGAGGTAGGGGCAACCTCAAACCCCCTTTTAGCACCTCCTCGTATAGGGTGAATTCCCCCGGTCGAACGTCGGATGCCTTCTCCTTCGACTCCGGCAATTTCAACTCTATCTCGGCGGGAATCTGGTACTTCTCCCGCATACCCTCCAGCTCCTTCGCGGTAATAATCGACTTATCGGCCTTTGTATGCCAATGATCTGGCTCCACCTGACTGATTGGCGTCGGTGCCGCCATCATTGTGGACGAACGAGGTCGCTCCGATAGCTCCCCCCACTCCCCACTCGCCTCTCCGTCCTATATTGCTCTGCCAAATCCACCGCGTCGTCATCCCCCAATGGATCAACCCTGGCGTTTGCAGTTTCTTCTTGGGCCATTTCTGTGGTGTGTCTACGAATAGCTTCGGATGCGGGCGCAAGAAAATTCAAAAAATGTCGCAGGGGTGTATCACTTGCAACGAAGGAGTCTATACTTGGAGTGTTTTGATTTTTCAAAGAAATGTAGGTAAAACGTATAATACCAAAAGCCCAAGGCTTGCCTGTATTCTAGGGGTCACAATTAATTTTTGCCAGTTTGAAAAATTTTCAACCATCTACCAAAACTGTCTTTTCAACACCCATTATGACCTATCGTTTCACTTCTGGCCCAACGCCTAACCTCCCCACCACGAGATGCTGCCACGTGTACGACCACGATTCATTGCCTCCTTCCCCTACCCTGTCTTTTCCACTTCAAGTCATCACGTGATCCACCGCTCTCAAGCCCCACACCCTGCCACCTCACCCTTCGTGGTCGGCCCTCCTCATGGTCGGTCCCTCCACTCGATTACCCTTCGTGGTCGGCTCTCCTCATGGTCAGTCCCTCCACTCGGTTACCCTTCGGGGTCGGCCCTCCTCATGGTCGGTTTCTCCACTCAACTACCCTTCATGGTCGGCCTTTCTCATGGTTGGTCCCTTCACTCGATTACCCTTCGTGGTCGACCCTCCTCACGGTCGGTCCCTCCACTTGGCCACTTCTGGTCGGTCGTTCCTTCCACTCGACCTTCAACCCCCATCTTCCTCATTATTCCCTTTGTTGGACAAAAGCTACACTTGGGAATGGGGGACTACTGACGTGGGTAGGCCCATAAAGGCCATAGCCCACTATGAATAACCCAAGCCTACCACTTAGGGCCCAATACATAACCCAACTGATAAGGCCCAGCACAACTGGAAGTCAACATGACATGAAGGACCAATGATATTCAGACACGTGGCAGGCAAAGGGCAAGCCACATCAGCAGACAAAGATCTGCAAAGTTATTGCCACTGCACATCACCATTAATGCAGCCCCTCACAACATTTATTACGATAACACCTCTCCGTCGGGACAGCACACCCTCACCCTGAACAAGGTGAGCTACAGCATAGACTTTTGGCCAAGGTGACAAGTCGGAAGTGACAACAAAATGATTACCAAAGGATATAAACAGACGTTGAAGACAAGAAGAAGGTTAAGCTTTTCTATCTCTATTCCATCTCTATACTCCACTTCTCTCTCTAACTTGCTCGTCGGAGGGTTCGCTGGGGGACTCTTCGTTCCCCGTTGAACTCTTGTGCTGGTCTTCAGGTGGGCTTGCTCATTCGGACATAGGCTTAAGAAGCGTGGATCAGTCCGATCCGTTCTACCATCACGAACTGTATCATCACAAGGGATCATTAGTTTTGAAACTAATAATTCTAGAATTACCAATTTTTTGGAATTAAGTATCTTATTCCACGTTTGGAATGTTCCTGCAATAGGAAGGCATTATGTAACCTATTCTATTTTTGTTTGAAATCCTTAAGACATTGATTACATAATGTAATGACCATGTTTGAGGATATTTTGATCTTTTAAACTCATAATTTGGATTCTTTACTCGGTCATTTTGTATCCTTCTCAATGGGACTCAATAATTCCAAATACGAGGGATATAAAATTCAGCGGAACTATCAATCCTAAGACACATTTTATATCCAAATATTATACAAGATTGATCAAGATACATAGTCTAATCTCATGGTCATGGTCTTATCTCCAAAACAAGTACTTTTTTTTTTTTTTTTGGAATGAGTTTAGTAATGAGGTAACTAGGACAAGTACTTGCTCAATATGAGAGACTAAGTGGGTGTTTGGAAAGTGGGTTTTTTTTAGGTTTTTTTAGTTGTAGGATATTATTGGAGAAAATAGAAAACTAGAATTAATGTTTTTCTTGTTCCCTCATAAAATGATGTTAAGATTCCAATATAGACATAAATCAGTCTTTTTGTTTTCATTATTATTATTATTATTTTTATTTTTCAACAGATAGTAGCAATAGATCCAAATCGAGAAGCATTTGAAGTTGGACTGCCATTCATTCAGAATGCTGGTGTGGAGCACAAGATCAATTTCATAGAATCAGATGCCATTTCTATTCTCAATGAAATGTTGAGCGATGTGAGTTTTTAATTTTAAAGCTGATTTTTTATTGCATTAACCAGTACAATTACACAATTAATTATTTTGCACTGTTAAATTTACTATTTGGGAGTGTAAAACATTTTCCTAATTTGATCTGCCATTCTTTGCTAATATTGTCAATCACATTTTTTGTGCCAATTTCTGTAAATCTCTGACTAACATGCTTATACAGGACGCTCGGTTCTTTAACTTGGGAACTAATTATATGAATTATGTATATATGGCAGGAGGGTAAGTTGAAAATGGAGTTTGATTTTGTGTTTGTGGATGCTGATAAGCCCAACTACATTAACTATCACGAGCAAGCGATAAAATTGGTGAAAGTAGGAGGAGTTATTGCATATGATAACACTCTGTGGCGTGGTTCAGTTGTAAGCAAGGAAGAAGAAGTCCCTGAGCGTTTCCGTGCCAACCAAAATCCCATAATTGAACTCAACAAGCACTCAGCCTCTGACCCCCGAATCGAAATCGCTCAGATTTCCATTGGTGATGGTGTCACACTGTGCAGGCGCATACTCTAGATCAGATCGTATCGTATCATATCATATGAGCTTAACTTAATTTGTAATAATAATCATGTTACCATGGATTTCAAGTCATTTATTTTCAAGGATGATCCGTTTATAATGGTGTTATCTTATTCGTATATGAAGTTCTCTATGCTTTTTGTGTTGAAAAAATGGCAACGGCAACCTTGTAGTCGCAAAAGTATTTGAGACTCCACTTTTGTAGTTCATGTCATTTATTCGTAATGTATTTCGTGGTACCACTTGTGGATTGGTTTGGACCTTCAAACTCCCTTCTTGAAGGTGTGCTTATATCTTAAAATTTAAAATATATATATATTTGTGGATGTAACAAAAAATAATGCACCTCAGAGCTGACTTTGAAGGAATTTTCACCAAACATTTTGGTAGTGAAATTATTGATGAATTGTTTGAACATACTCTAAATATTGTGGAGTTTTCCTCCCAGTCTAAATCAAGCAACATGCAACATGCAAAGAAGCCTACTATTTTTGTCTTTGAAGCGCAAATGATTCGAGTGATCTTGGTCTCTTCCTCAGGTGGCGTGATGTGGTTGGCCAAACGGTTCTAGTAAAACAAATGGATTGGATCAAAATCCATCACTTTGAAGTGGACCCAATTGGATTTTGGGTGAATTTTGTTAAGGAGTCTAAATTAGTTATTTCCAGAGCCCATTTGGCTACTCTTTTTCCTGTCAAAAACCAACTTTTTAAAGCCAAAAATAATTACAAAAGTCAAAAATATGCCAAACTAACTTTCTAAAGCACTAGTTTATTTGTGGACTTATTTTAAGCCAATAAGCAAACTTATAACCTGAGTACCAAAGAAGGCTCTCTAATCTGCTCCTATTCCCAGCAGTTTCACCATCGAAAAAGGTAAAAGCAACATATATCATATACATGTCTGCCAGCAATTTCCTTTTGGGTCGCGATATCTGCTAGAAAACTGACCTTTCAACCCAGTTAGGTCTCAAACCCTCCATCCATCTAGTTTCCTGCAGGCTGCTTTTATCTTAAATGTTTTCAAGTTTCTCCTGCTAACCCCTCTCATTTTCATCACATCTCAAAATAGGATACACGCACGGGGAAATACATAAATCATGGTGACTCCAAGTACCCAAGAATTTCAAGCCACTCTATCGTAAGAACCACTACCAAACACTCATTAAATTAGATAAGCTAATTGCAAAATGAAATTCATCCACTTATTGTTGTAGAAAACCGAATGTGGTATTACGAACATACAATCCAATCCAAGTTTTAGTCTTCGAAGATGCCTAAATCGTAATTGACAAACAGCAAGAAAAGGAATTAACACTATTTCACACTTCTCCCTATGAAAGAGCATAGCCATTTAAATAATTCATCCTTCATGTACAATATTTACATCATGTGAGGAAGATCTTATTGCTTTTCAATCACAATGAAGTGAATACCACTTGAATTGATCAGAACAGCAATGTTACAAAGAGAAAACCCATGTCACACTACAATCCTACAGATCACCTTGAAAATCAATTACAAAACTCAACCCATTGGTGAACATATAAATATTGCAGCTACTCATACTACAAATGACTTGCATAGTCAAAAAAATGTGGGTTTCTGATCATTTTATACTGCAGATGGAAGTTGCTTTGGCTTTTGCTTAACCAGCATGGTTGAAAGTGACTGTCAAATTCAGCATTTTCCATCTCATTGGTTTTTTGGTTCTAATCCCTGAAAAATGTATGTGAAATTATATCAAACATAAATGATTCTATACAAATGCATACTAATTTCCCTTACCTTGATAAACTAAATTTTGTGGATTCTAACTAACAAAAATTTAATGTCAAGCATTTATTCATTTTATACAAAGATAAAATTCAAACTCCCACAAGCCATAAATGTCCTGCCCCATCTCAAATGGAATCAACCTTGATTTATAATCACTAGAAGTCAGGGAAACTACATTTAAGAATTTATTTAGGGAGGCTCACACTACCATTATCTTCACAACACAGGAACAACATAATAATAAATAACATAATGGTCTAAAATACAAGTTGTGTCTGCTTCATTCGTTTCACCATGAAAAAAGACTACCACAGTCATAATTCATAGGAAAAATACATTCCATTCCATCCATAATTCATATGCCTCCTTATGCAAGAATTCATTTTTCACCAAAATGATTGTGATTTGGAAAGAAGCAAGAACAATGCACAAATTGAAAAGAAAAGATCATGGTGCTTTTAAGTATCATACCTTTTAGAACCATGTAAATATTCTTGCATCCAGGGTTTCTTTAAATAACAGTCTGCTTAAATGAAATGCTTGTGAGCATCACATCCTTTGTCTTTGGAAGAAATCTCCAATTTTCCATGTCAAGGAACAACTTATAACTGTAAGACAAACCAAAAGTGGCATAAGAGACTACCAACAAAAAAAGACATAGGAGAAAAGAAGAAAGATAGTTGCCATTTGAACAGGGCTAAACCTTGCCAATTTAGTAGACCATCATAAACTAAAAGCCAGTTATTTACATTCTACTATATAATAATTAAATAACAGAAATAAAGTAAAAACCAAATTAAATAATAAAAAGAAGAGCCAGTTACCCAAAAGATCTTCTTGGGGTATTTCCCATGTAAAAATCTTGCACAAGATTGAAGGTTTGGTGTATAATTGACTCCAATAACCACCTGTCCTAGACTCTGATCAAGAGACTGAACACCAAAAGATTTGTGGTAGAGGGATTTCCACAATAAAAGATTTATAAACTACCATTCCCACAAAATCACTGCCCCTACATTGATATTTTTTTTTTCTTTTTTCTTTTGGTATTATCAGACATGACTAAGTCCGGGAACTTTAGACGCATTACTTTCATCCATCAGTCTCCTCACCCCCTCAGCATCTACAAACCTACAAAAACCAGCATATATATTGGACAAAAGCACATAATCACCACCATATCTTCTCTCTATCTCTAGTATCTTCCTCATAACTCGTTCTGCAATCTGAATATTACCATGGAAGCTACAGGCTCCTAGCAACGTCCTCCAAATCACAACATTAGCAATCTCAGTAGGAATCTGCAAAGCTATCGTCTCAGCTTCCTCTAACCTACCTTCCCTCCCCAACATATCTATTAAGCACCCATAATGCTTAATATCGGGTACAACTTGACACTCATTAAGCATCTTTCTAAAAAACTCAAGCCCCTCTTCACCCAATCCTCCATGACTGCAAGCATTTAAAATACTCAAGAACGTTACGCGATTTGGCATCAAACACTCATCTTCCATTCTTTTAAAACTATCTGCTACATGTTTCCTCATTCCATGCATTGCAAATCCAGAGATTATAGATGTCCATGACACCAAATTCCTCTTTTCACAAGTTATGCCATCGAAGACTTTTACTGCACTCTCAATGCACCCACACCTTGCATACACATCTATAAGGGAATTGGTAACTCGAATGTCATGCTCATTAAACCCACATTTCTCTCCATAAGCATGAATTAATTGGCAAGACTCAAGACACCCAAGATTCCGTATGGACGGAAAAATTGCTAGGATTGTTACTTCAGTTGGTTTAATACCCTTGTCCACAACCATTGTCCGAAACAAGGCCAAAGCTTGCTTGTGTTGGTTCAACCGCGAGTACCCGTTAATGATACCAGTCCACGAAACAACATTCTGCGATGGCATCTGGTCAAAGAGAGAACGGGCAAGGCCAATCTGCCCCCATTTAGTTAAACCAGTGATGAAGGCATTCCAGGTGACTGAGTTCCTCTCAGGCATTTCATCAAACACTTGTTGTGCTTTAACTAAACACCCAAAAACTGAATACATGTTGACCAGAGCAGTTTGCACATAGATGTGATGGTCAAAGCTGGCTTTGACAGTGAGGCCATAGACCTGAGTACCCAAAGTGGGTTGTTCCAAATTAGTGCAAGCCTTGATGAAAAAAGAGTAGGAATAGTTGTCGAAGGAGATGATGGGTAGGTGTAGAAGTTGGAGGTACTTGAAGAGTAGGACAGCTTCTTCGGGGGAGGAACCGAGAGAGTAGTGTCGGAATAGGTAATTCCATATTGTCATAGACATTCCAGTACAATGAATGCCATTGAAGATCAATTGAGCGTGGATTTGTCGAATGGCTTCGCGGCTTGCTATGTGTTTCATTAGCAGAGATAGCAAGTAGGGCATGCGTCTCCTCTTCATGGCCACCTCTACACAATGAAATCCAACATGCTAACTAGTAAGCCCTCGTTTGAAAAGAATTTTTTAGTATGCCTTTTTTTTATTTTTTTTTTATTATTTTAGCTTAGTTAAAAATATTTTGTTTGGGATAAATTTTTTGGTTTTTTTTGGGGGGGGGATAATTGTGAGACAAAAAGTGAAATGATTATAATTTGGATGTGATATTTTGTCTTATTGACTTTTTAACCTATTTTATTTTTTAATGGACTAATTTAGTCTCAATCATCTTGCGAACACATTTGGGTTGCTTATTACAAATAAACGTGCAAAAAATAGAGAAGTAATTCGACAGAAATAAGTCAATAAGCTAATAAGTAGCTTATTTAGGTGGTACCTAAACCTCCTTACTAAAGTGTGAACAAATATACGAGTATTGGTATTTACCCTTACCATTTTTCTTAGAACTCTCCACAGAAAATTCTATTTCCACACACCTACTTATCTCAGTGCACATTATATCTTAGTACACATACTTATTAATTATTCTTCTCAATCCACATACTAAATGTTTCGATTATACCCTTCACTTATATCATTGTACACACACTTCCTTAACCCTCGTTCCACTCACTTGCTGAAAATTGTAGATCCACTGCTACGGTTCTATTCTAAACAAAGAAGACCACAGTCCTCCATTGAAGACCTCCATTCCATTAAAGACCCTATCATAAATATATATATATATATATATATATGTATATATAATTACTATGAACCAACGAACTAAAGACCAAAAAAAAAAAAAAAAATCTATTGGAATAAAAGAAATCAGTAAAAAAGTCCCTCGATGGTCATACAATGATTTTGAAATATTTCAACAAGAAAATAAAACACTAAAAAAATAAAAGGAGACAATTTTCATCTCTTTCTTCCTTTAATTTGAAGCAATTTCATATTAAACACAAATAAAAACCAAACAGGTCACCAAAAGAACCTATCTTTATCCAAATTATTAGCTAAAATCCCACCAATATCTTGTATTCATAAAATTTACATTCAATTGCACATGAATTTTCTCATCAACTTAGAATCCATCATCCTATTGAACATTCTCGAAATCAATACAATTATATGAAATCAAAAACTATTCCATTCGCAATCAATCTTCAATGTTTGGACAACGAATTAGGTTTTAGATTTCGATGAATCAAGAGAGATCAAACAACAATGACATGAATTTTAGATGAGATTTGGGGTTTTAGACAATTGGGAACAATGGAGAGAAATTAGGATTTAGATTTTTTTAATGTGCTGAGATTTTTTTATTTTTAAAAGATGTGTATAGAGAATATTTTAATATAATATTATGGGTATGTTTTGATGTCCATTATAGTCATTTTATTTTAGAATATAATTGTTATTAAAATAATATTTCATTAAATGTAACAATCCCGACCCATGATTAACTGTTAAGCCATGATTACGTATGTCTAATAAGTAATTAAGATGAAATCTTGGGTTAATTACATGTGCATTGCATTATTTGTGTTTATATCTGTCTGCTGTAGAAATATCTGTTTGTGTTTCTGTGTTTGTTCTGTGAATTAAAGGCCTTATTGGCAACCGATCACGAAATTGACCTGAATTATGTGTTAGTTGAAATTTTTAGAACATTATGGTAGGTTTAATTGAAATTCGATTCAGAACGAAATAATTAAAACAATTAGTACTCAATTAAGCCTAATTAATGAATTCTTTAATCCAAGCCTATATAAGGCACTAGTGGACCCTTGTATACATTTTACACTCTCATTTCATCCTTGTTGAGCTACAAACGTGTAAGAGAGAAAGAGAAAGAGAGAGACCAAGAGTGAAAGTGAGTTCAACAAGGGAGAATGGGAGAATTGCTAGAAATTGTTGGAGAATTGAAGAGAGTTTAGAAGTTTAAGCCTTTACACTTGTGAACCCAAGGTATAAGGTAAGAATTCAATCCCTTGGTCTTGCTTTTGAGTTGGTAAGTTCATGAATACAAGAGAATTAAGTTAAAATTGAGCTTGAATGAAGGAGTATAGATCATACCATGCATGCATGTCCAATTTCATCACAATCTGAGTTTAATTTCAAGAAATCTCTCATGCATGTGTCCATCTTACCTTTGTTTTGAGAATTCATCAAGTTTCATGCCATTTTATCTTGCTTGATCATGTTTTGGAAGGCTGAATTCATAACAACTCATGCATGTTCTATATACATACAATTCAAGTTTGATTTTGAGCAAATGACATGCTTAGGCCTTGATTTCGTGAAACGATCTTGAATTCTTAATGTTTTCAAAGTTTAGACTTGTTTTCTCAAGTTTTGGGGCCCAACGATTGATTTTAATGGTTTTGAATTTGAGTTTTGAAGCATGGAAGCAAATTTGGAAATTCCAAAATTCTGCTCCTACGCTCGAGCGACCACTCTATATTTTTGCACATTTGCTCGAGCGACCAAAAGTTTACAAGTTTTGAAAACCGCTCAAGCGATAAGAGTTATGCTCGAGCGAGGACCTCAGTCTTACGCTCGAGCGATCGTCGAGCGGAAAAATCAAGCAGCTAGTACTTTTGCAAAGTTTATAAACTGCTCGAGCGAAAGAAGTTGCACTCGAGTGACCACTCACATGTTTGGACGTCCGCTCGAGCGAAGGAAGTTGTGCTCGAGCGAGACCCTTGTTTTCAGCAAAAATGACTAAGTGTTTTGAAACTCATTTTGGCATCCCTATTATATCCTAGGCATTCCTAGGCCACGAATAAAATATAATAATGAGGATAAGACGTAAAAACACACTAAGAACGAAATGCAATAAGTTAAGTACTATTCGAGTGTGTGTTTCAATCTGTGTATCTGTTATGTTTGTGTAGGTCACGTAGCGTAAGCTATCTGATTTGTTTGCTTTATCTGTCTGCTTTTAGAGCTATCTGTGAGCAATAACTTAATAAAGTTATGTTCAACTTTATTTATTTTCTGTATGTTGAATTAAGATCTGTTTTTTGAAATGATAACTTTTGTACAATGAATGATTGCCCAATTCTGACCATGTATTCATGGCATCCTCAGCATCATATGATATCTGTTAGCTGTTACCCAGTATTGGAGGTTCCATCATGAAACTTAATATGTATGTTATCTGTTACCCATACCGGAGGCTCAATTATAGAGCTCAACATATCTGTTATCTGTTACCAGAATCCGGAGGTTCCTTAATGGAACTGGTTATACATAACTAACATCTGTTATGTATCTGTTCTGTTAACACTAATGGGTGTACCACATATTATTAAGCACGAATTCTGATTTCTACTTATGACTATAAATCTGTTTTTGATATGAACTCTGATTTCCGAATCTGATATAGGACATCATTCAATTAAAACCTTTTACTCTATTATTATTCACTAGGCCTCCGTTCACTAATTATATTATATATGTAGGTGATCAGATGCGTGACCAGGCATAATGATAACCGTCTGGAGCCTGTTTTGTCGGCCAACCCTTGTGCCTCCCAAGAAGGTTCCGAAAGTCATATGGTCATGTTTTGTGAATGTATAAGACTCGTTTTCTTTTGGTATATGCAAAAAGTTTTCTATTTATCTGTACTTTGGGCTAAGTCCCATTTTGACTTTATTTGTGTAAATGGGTGATACAAGACTACCACATCTATGACATCACATGTACATATATGAGTTTTTGAAAATTCTGTCACATGCACGTCAGCGCAGCTCAATGGACTATGAATGTTTTTATATATTTTCTTCTGGAGCCCTTTAATATATGATAGACTATATAGAGGCCTTTGGTAATCCAAGGATTATTGGCCGGTTACGACTCTAAACCTATAGGGGCGGGTTTAGGTCGTGACATTAAGTGTGAGTACTGAAGTAAGTAAGTGTGTGGAAATAGAATTTTCCACTCCCCATGTCACGCCCCAAAACTTGGACAATTAAATATTAAATTAGGAAAAAACCCCAATCAATATTCCATCATCCAAATCCTAGGGGTTGAAACAAAATCTAAATGTTTTTGTCTCCATAAGGTTTAAGTAAATTTCAATGCAAAAAAATAATAATAATAATAATAATAAAAAAAAATAATAATAATAAAAAAAATACAAGGTATAAAAAAATTTAACAAACACTAACCAAATCATCCATCATAAAATCATGACTATCCAATACCTCCAACATTAAAGTAGCAACAAATAGTCAAAACAATTTAAATATTGTGAGTGCAAAACCCATTGTAGACGTTCCCGAACATCCCGGGAGGGAAATCCCGTTCTGTTCATTTGGGCTCACTACAGTTTAGACTCAATGTCACGGTCCTGTATCTAATCTCGCAGAGTGCAATGCAAGACCGATGAATCACCAAAGAGTCCAAATTTGGCAAATCATTTTTAAAAACTGATTTTTAAGAAAGAAGTGCCAAACATGGACTGCTTTGCCAGACACAGAGTCGCCACCTAAATGTTTATTTTGGGAAATTTAGGAAACCCTGACTCGTTTCCTAAGGCCACGTGTCCGTCATCACCAAAGTTGCCTCGGCTCGGGAACTTGGGTACGATTGGGAAAGGTCACCTCGTGAGCACCCCCACTCGCCCAATCAAAGATCGGCCTCTACTAACCATGATATCGAGTTTTGAAAACATATGTGTTCTTATTCCGGTTTATTAGCCTAGAATTATTATGTGATGCGCACAGCATACAAGTATAGACCGGATCACCTGAGTTGGAACAAAACATTTCATGTTTGTTTTTTAAAGTGGTTTGTTACTCGCAAGTAGGCTTAAAATGCAGATTTTGCCACCCTCGGGTGGGCTTAGAAAACATGGTTTTGCCACTATCTAGTGGGCTTAAAACTCGCAATCAATGAATTGTTCCAATCCAAGTAATCCAACCTTCACCCACAGGCATTCAAGCAGTTATATCACAGAAGCAGTTAGCCTC